TGAATTGTTGACATTCTGGCCTGAAAGATTTCAGGTGGGAACATCAACATCTAGTGAATTTGGTGGCCTCATGGGATTTCAGCCATTTAAAAATGCATGAAATAAATTAAGATTGTTTCATATCAGGGTTCTAGAGATGCCGTGCAAGTGTAGGGGGGCAACTGTTGGTTCTAAAAATGTTTAACAGTGATCTGCTTTGGGGTATGGTGAGTTGGATCCTAGATAGGCTCATGCTATGTAAGATGCAATCCCCAGATTCTGCATATTAATTTATTCTAAAATAACACCCGGTCCCCTCCTCTTTTAATTTGCAAATTGCTAGGGTTATGCCTTCTTTGTTATTATTTTTTTTTCTTGCAATGGTGGCTCACATCCAGCTAAATGTATCGATATGGCATAGAAAGCTGATGTTCGTGCGATGAACCCAGCACTGAAGCTGTATTATTTCCCCCCATGGACTTGCTTGCTAAAAGAAAAGTAGGAAGGGGAGGGGGGGGGAAACACTTTCACAAAAGGCAGAGCATGCACCAGAATAGCAACACAGTTTTTGGACGATCCACTTTAATCCATTTTTAGCCTGTAATAAACTAGCAAGGCTGTTAGCAGCTTGGCTGGGGGAGAGGGAAGGAGAATTGTGCATTCTTGGGGGGAAAATGCCACCAGCACAATTATTTTGGGATAAGGAATCCTGAAACTCATACTGAACTCCTATTTGTTTGCCTCTTCCAAGGGCAAACTGAACTTAAAGCTGAGCTTAAAAATCATTCTGTATTTCCCGCTCTGTTCATTTGGGAATGACATAAAAATCCTTTCCCCATGGTAGTCCTCCCCATCCAAGATCTAATATTTGAAGATTTGCTTTGTCTGAACCTGGAATCTCTACTTTGCCTCCTTTCACTGTATGTAGCAGTCTTATATTAAGCTGACCTACAGGCCCAATATTATTTTCTACAGTTGGCATAGGCTCTTCAGGGCAATGAAAGCAGGAATTGAACCTATGCATGGAGAACAATGGTTATGGCTTTCTATTTTACACAAGCCTGCAGAGTAGCAATGTTTCTTGTTGTTGCACGTACTAGCATCATACTAAAAATCGGCATTTTGCATACAACTCCACCCTGCTCCCTTTTCTTTTAATGTGGCAGAAAAGTAACTTATTTCAGATGTTTTTTTACCTCCCCCAAGGAGGACAATGTTGCAGATAAATGGTCCAAAATGTTTCTTCTCCTTGGAAAGCAATTTCAAGCACGATTTTCTTTTTCACTACATTGAAGGACCCTAGATTTTTTTTCCCCCTGAAAAAAGTAAAACCTCCACTTTTGTCATGTGGTTGATGATGGTGATTTATTTATATTAATAAGCTATCAATTGAAATGATTGATTTCCTTGTGTTTTTAAAGGTCACTCTTCCTTTTTGCAGGCCAGGGCGCACGTTGCTCTGTGAAGTTTAACATTCTGTGTGAACTTCAGAAAGGATCTTAGAAGCTTGATTGATAATTGGCCACTTGATTGGAAAGCTTGTTGGTACCACTGATCTTATGAGACAGTGATGATTAACAACAGATAGAGAAGGAGGACTTCTGTTAGGTAAGAAGCTGGCATTATGATGAGACAGTCCAAGGAGGATGGAAAAGCATATTGGTTGTTCAATTGCCCTTGTCATCAAACCCAACTAGGTGGCAAAAGTTAACTTTTTAATTCAAGTTAAACATGAAGGAGAGTGGTTAATACTTGGATGAAGATCACTGGGAAAGCCCTGGGCTGTAGGATAAATTTGTTTTAAAAAGGGGCTTGAGGGAGACACCATCTTTTTGAACCTTCAGTATGTGAGTTTAGAAGACCAGTCGTTCCATGGTAGCCTGCTGGAGCTGTCTGTGGTCCTGAAGGGCATAAACCCAATGCAACGATTGAGGAACAAACTTTTAGGGTAAAACAAGAGGGAGGAAGGTATGAGTTGCATGATACAATGGCATCCTTGGGTGTATTTGGTTGCAAAGGTCAGGAAAGCATCATAGGCTCTCAAAGCCACCTTGATGTCGCCCCATTTGCAGGAACCATCTTTCTAAAAAAATAACAGACCCTGGAAAATGTGTGAATGCATTGAAAGAAAGGCATATTTAAATCGGCCTTCCCTCCAGATGTGTTTTATGTCATTCTCAGCTTGCCTGCATTTACCATGAAGGCTGGGATTTCTGAGAATTGAAGGTAGGCACATATGAAGGGCAACCGGGTGATAACTGATGGAAAGTGTTCATTTCCCCACTGTTCTACTCCAGAGGGATCCACAGTGCAGATACCGATGGCATGAGGCAAGCTGCCAAAATAGAATAAAACAGTAAAACATCCCAAAGACAATAAGTGATAAATAATAATGCCACAAATGACATAGCAAAACCACAAGAGGCAGCAAAAACATCTAAACAAGGGTGAGGGGATGGTCTCTCATTCCATTCACTTATTGTTCCAGTGATTCCCTCTGCCCTTTGTTTCACTCATTTCTAATTCTGGCTTTATTAGGATAATTTCTAGCCTTAATTCCAGGATCGGAGTAAGCACAATAGGAGCTCAGATTCACCCTCCAACACCCAATGTCCTGTTTGGTGGATACATCAGCATCTCACCCATTTGGTTCACTCTTACTCATTTTTGCAACATAGTACTCAAGATCAGGGTTGTCCTGACCGAATCCTACACTTTCTTTCTGAGCTGCTGCAACCCCACCATAGCTCTTTGCTCCAAAAATAAACGCTCAACTCGATTTACTGCAAATTCATCTAAGGACAGAGAGGGGTAAAAATGAATAAGAAAGGGTATTTAAAGAACATTTCAAGGGGTCAGTGATTCCACACTCTTGTAAGTCAGAGACAGCGTGAGCAGCTTCCTAAAGGTTATTCAATAAATTGCTGGCAGAAACCCGTAGAAAATGGTTAATATTAAAAAAAGGTTTTTAATTTATGTTTAATTATTTTAATAGTTTTAAGTGGCCTCTGTAGATTGTTTTAATTGGCTTTGTATGCCAATTAGAGTCACTTTATGTGAGATGGGTGGCTGCATACATTTGATAAATAAATAAACTTTCAGACTGAGTACTGGGTGAAACTGAACAGTCCAAGCACTTTGGAAGAATAGAGTGAACTTTCCTTCATTGAAAGTCTTTAGGTAGAGCTTGGACAAGTCTTTGTGAGATTATGCAAGCTTGAGACATTCTCTGCTGAGCAGAAACTGGATAGATAGTCTTCAGAGTTTCTTCTTTGGCGTTATAATCTTCATCACTTTCTAAAGGTGTCCTTCAAGTTGAGCGTAAGTCCTGGTGTCTTCATGAATGTGCATCAAATTCATTTTCTTGGCATAGCATGGAAGTGCCTTCTGAAAACCTTCTGATGCTTCGTTGATTCTCAGTCATCCAGGTGGAATTATCTGGAGGTTGAGTCATGGCAACTGGACTTCTTTTGTTTTGGTCTGATACGTTTCGCTGCTTGTCCAAGCAGCTTCTTCAGTCTATAAAGTTGATTGGGGGGACCCCATAAATGTCTTCCAGGGTGGCTGCATTTCTCACTAACATGATGGGTTCATTGAAGAGACAATAGGAGATTGTCTCCCTGGAAGCTGCCATCCTCAGCACAGGAGAAGCAACAACACAGGACCAGAATCAGCAGTTTACCTTCATCTAAAGGAAAGGACACTAATTTGAGGACAATAATGTTCACATTTTAGACAGAGAAGATGGATGGTTTGAGAGAGGAGTGAAGAAATCCATTTATGCCAAAGTGGAAAATCCTTCTCTCAATAGAGGTGGAGGCCTCAGACACAACTTTTTGTCTCCCATTTTCCAGGCTGCCCTTTCATTAGTCCCCAAGAAGATTAAGAACAGTTCAAAACTTCACCAGGAAGGCAACACTTAACATCCACGGGGATGGTTGAGGGACCAGGAGAAGACATCTACATCTCGAAGACTCTAATCACATCTCCTATTGTCCCTTCAATGAGCCCATCATGTGAGTAAGAAACACAGCCATCCTGGAAGACTTTTATGGGGTCCCCTGAGCCAACTTTTTCAGACTGAAGAAGCTGCTTGGACAAGTAGCGAAAGGTCTCTGAGCAAAAAAGAAAAGAAGTCCAGTTGCCATGACTCGACCTCCAGAGACTTCTGATGCTTTGACTTCCCAGTCTAGCCTACAATCTTGGGATTCCCTTGCAGTTTCCCATCCCTCTACTAACCAGGCCTGACTCAGCCAGATACTGCATTATCCCATTCCCTCTCCTGCTCTGGTTTATCCCTCTTCAGACTTGGAAGCTGGGCTGCCCAGAACCGACCAGGACTCCCTTTCCAGAGCCTCTGAAATCAATGAAGGATGTTGCCGCTGTGACAAAGCAAAAGAAGCATTTCCCTTCCCACCTCTACCAAAAAAGAAAGTCAGGCAAGCGATTGAATTGAGAAAGAACCCTCTGAGCAGCGATGGTTAGAAGGCGTCTAGAAGGTTGAGGAGAGAAAGACCTTCAGACAGGACCAGGTGATGACTGGCTACGGAAATGGATACCCGGCGAACTGGATGGAGGCACAGGATAACGGGGAAGATGAGATGGTAGCAGAAAGAGGGCGAGGAAGAGTTAAGAGATGGAGCATAGAGTTAAGAGAAGCCTTCTCCACTGGCGGCCTCCCGTTTCCTCCAGGCGGAGGGCGCCAGTTGGAGGAAGGGAAGGGTTACTGCATGGGAACGGGAGGGCGAGAAATCTTCCTTGCTCTCGCAGTCTCCCATCCACCGGTTCTCAAACGTTCTCCTTCCCCGCCTCTCCAAAGGAAACCTAATGCGCCCCTCTGATTCTCGCCCCCCCTTCCGCACCTACATATCTGAATCTTCTTCTGCCCCAGCCCAGCTCTGCCCTAATGATGCCTTCAAACGGGGGCAGAGCCCTCCCCGCCAAAATCCTCACTTC